GGGCCTAGACCCTTCCCTAGGCCCGAAACGTCAGCTTTCCTGCTCCTCTGATGCTGCTTGGCCTGCTGTGTTCATCCAGCTCTACACCTTGTTATCTCTGTTAGCTTTCTGTGTTGTATGCACATGTATCCCCAAGTCCTTTCATGGTGCAGCTTGCTGCAGTTTTTCTCAATTGAAATAATACTGTTCTTTTGTTCTCCTTTCCAAAATGAACAGCTTCACATTTTCCCACATTATGGCCCATTTGCCAACATTTCGCCTATTACTTAAACTAGCAATATCTCTCTATAAAATATTTATATCCCTCTTTCAACTTGCCTTTCCACCTATCTTTGTGTCCCAATTACTATGAAAATCTTAATGGCTTGCTTTTCTGCATCAGACAGACCCAAATCCAGAAACAATAAGTCTGAATGCTGTTTAAATACTTTAAGCTCTGCTAGGAGGTCTGCTGTGTCCCCAATTCAAACCAGGGAGTTTTGTAGACATTCTAACAATAGGCCTTGGACCTTCCCTTCCTTGCAATCAATGCAGCCGTACTCTGACCACTTGCCTGTCTGAAGTGAATTAAATGGGTTTGTTGGTAGGGATTTGCCTGCTGACCAACTAAGTTGTGATTTCAGCATTTTCTGACACTATAGCAGATAAATACATTGAAGATTATCTTGTGGAACTTAGCACAATGTAAGACTGTCAACCATGAGTTTAATCTGTACATTATTTTGCTTGCTGGCTGTTCGAACATGATAGACCTCAGCTGTGCAATGTTGTTGCACTTCATGTCATGCTTATTATAATGGTCTAATAATCAAACACTCAACAGAGATTGATTAACTTCAATAGTTAGTTTATTTAAAATAGTAAAACACACTAACTTTATGAAGCAGACTTTACAGCAAATCAACTGATTTCCACGAGTACAGTTGGCAACTAACTGGCAGACAGAGTCACAACCTTAGATACACACAGCATACAGAATCCTTAAAAGTGGACTCTCTTAAAGACAAGAGATATACACAACATATAGAATGAGAGTAATCTAGACAGCAAAATAAAAACAGGTTACAATTATATAAAGGGGAGAGTAGCTTAAGGAAACATTTGTCTCTTAGGGCCAGAGGAAAATCATAGGGAATTAGGAAACTGTAGAGATATTGAACAAATATTTTGTGTCTGTCTTCACATTAAAAGGCCAAAATTACACAGCAGAAATAAAGTGTAATTAAGAGCCTGAAAGGAGCACAGAATTTAAGATAATTAACATCAGCAGAGAACAAATGTTGGAGAAACATATGGGACTAAAATCCACCAAAACCCCAGGATCTGATGGCTTCCATCCTAACATTCTAAAATGGGTAGCTGTAAAGTCAGCAGACATGATAGTTTTGATTTTATACAAGTCCCTACATTCTGCAATGGCCGCAAAGGCTTGGAAGTTAGCAAAAGTAACACCATTATTTGAGAATGGAGGTTGAAAGAAAACAGAGAAGTTCTGACTACTGAGACCAACATCTGTTATTGGAGAAATGCCAGAACTGATTATCTTTGCTGAAAAGAGAAACGTGTTACTGAAGCTTTGCATCATGTACCCAAAAAGGCAAATGGAAGAGTGTGGAATTTCAAATGATTATAACAATATATCTTATGGGAGGAAAAAGTGTTGTTTGCTGGTAAGCTGAGCCTGATTGACTGAAGTGTTTCCCTGGACAAAGCACCAGAGAATTTAAGGCACCCTGAGCTCTCTGGTAAAAAGGCAGGAGGCTTGAACATGTTCCTTTTGTTTGCAGAGAACAAGTCTCTGTACGTGAAATACTTTGCTTCTATCTGGCATCAATGAGCCATGTTATGAGCTAGACTGATCACATTAAATTGGTTGATGATGTTGCTATTAGTACATTTGGGGCTGTTCAGCAAGTGCTGCCCAATAAATGTATTACTCCTAGAGGTAGATGATTTATTTGTACTTGGTAAACCCGGGATAGTTGAATTTGATCTGTACTTAGCCTAAAAAAAAACCATCACTTAACCACACATGCAATATTGCTCAATGGCGTGATAGGCAGAACATCTTTTTGAACTGATGATTGCATTCCACTCATATTAACATTATGTTGTGACAGACTGATATTGCTTTTGGTGCTTGTATAATTTGAGCCATACATCCCAGCAAGTGGCTGATCAAATAAAGAACACAGTCCTTTGGTTGTCAATTCATTAATGGCTGCAAGATATTCACTTTGTGATTGCTGGGAAATGGGGAATGGAGAAGATTACTGAGTTGAGGTGCTCCTTGATGAGTTGGTCTCTGTGAAGGTAACGGGTCTACTGATTGCTGCTTCTCCATTTCCTGTTCTTCCTCCTGCTCTTGCTTTTCCTCCTGTCCTTGATAGTTCCCAGATTATGGTAAAGATTGGTACCTCAGGATGACAAGATTGCAAATCATGCAGCAGGCAATCACAAAGCAAGATACAAATTCAAGTTTGTACTGCACATTTCCCCCAGGAAGATCAGGCTGTGAGAGTGCACCTTGAGATTGTTGATTCTTTGCTTGATTATGTTGCTGGAGGACAGCTTAAACTCATTGTATTGCTGCAGTGCAGCTGAAGGTGGGCTCTGAACTGGAGTGATAAGGCATGCCCAGAACTTTTGTAACTTTTAATTTAGCATCTTAGTTGGTATTCAGACAACATGGACCTGCAAAATCAGATGTCTTTCATTGCAATTCAGTTGCTTAGAGCAATCAAATCAGCAAAGGAAGATATGCTTTTGTGACAGTTTCCTGGAACAATACATTGTGGAACCAACAAAGGATAAAGCTATGTTAGTTTTTGGTATTGTGCAATTAATTATGAATATCGTAGTTAAAGATCTGGGACAAAAAAAATCACAATATGATTTGTGGTCACAAGACAATTTTACTGTAGTTTTATATTGAAGTACAAGCCAGTTGTTAAATATTCCAGATAAATCATAGGAAGCACACAAGTGCACTGCAATATAGAACATAGAACATAGAAAGTACAGCTCAGTACAGGTCC